AGACGTGAGTCCTCTGTGGTCGCCGGCATAAATAAATGACCCTGCAATCTGGCATACTTTTGTCTTGTGGTAACTTTCTACACTCGGTCAAATACAACAGGCCTTTTTCTGACTGCCTAACCTCCTTATCAGTGCCAGCTAGTATGCCTAGCTCATAATAGATGAGTGATAAACATTTGGCAAATGAACGTAAAACTATGAAGGATTCTTATTTAATTCTAAAATTAGAAATAATTAAAGACATAGTACGATTGGAATAATTTCTAGATTGATCGAATTTCAAGAAGCCTATTAAAGTTTATGTTAAAGGTCAATTTTAATTTTTCCTGAGGACTGCTGTCCTATAGAAGCAACCATCCCTAATCAGCATTATGACTCAGTGTATAATAACCCTATATATGAAAGGCCTGATTGGGGAAAAAAAAAGTAGAAAAATCGGAGTGCAAATAATTAGCTACATTTAGGGAAAATATCTGTAGGAAAGGTGGTATTTTCAGATGCATCACTTCCATTATCTTGTAAAGATTGTCAGATAGTTGTACTGCTGGAAGATAAATTGATGTAGAATTTAACATAATAGCAAATGCAACTTTAAATAAACCCTGCAAGCCTTTAGCTAGTAGTTATTACAGACCATGTCATTTCATGAAAATATTAAATATGGATCAGGTTTCATTTAATGGCAGCCAACCACAAAGTGCCACGTCTTGATTATAGGACATTCTCCCAGAAAATCAGAAATCACTTTTCTAGTCTCTTTTGTATTATCATGGAAAGTAGCTGGAAAATAAATAATCTATTCTCTGCTTTTGTGTTACTTTAAAAAGTAGCTGTGGCAATAGCATAATGCGTTTTGAAGTGCCTAGGAATTGCCAGTGTCTAAGAAATTGCTGAAGGTCCGCATTCTACCAATTCCTCCGCTTAGGCACATGAACTACAGGTTATTATAGAAGGTGACTTGAGGTTTTTATCCCGTTTTTCTACAAGGTTGAACTAAGTTCAGCAGAAATCAAAGACTTGGAGTTAATCCCTACAAAGCCCATTTAGTTCCATGCGTGGACGATTTCTTCCACACTAGAGTCTCAACGAGGAGAGAATAGCTTATGCCAGTCAATGACACTTCCCGTCCTCCTCCTCCCCTTTACAGAATGTGCAGTGGCCCTCACTACTGCCCCCTTTAGCCGTGCCTCAGAACCCACAGTTACATTTTCCACACTATGGAGGCGAATAAGCCTAGTAGGACTACAATTCCCGTCATACCTCACTGCAGGCGCCGTTGACGTGCCATAGCAGTTAGTCATCCTTCCCATCGCCTCCCTCCACTTCCTGGACTGCGCGGCTGGAGGCCTCGCGGGCGCGGGCACGCACCACCGGCTCGCCAACGAGAGAAGGCATTGGGGCACCGACAGCGACTGGTTGCGTCTTGTGACGTGGGTTGTTCTCGTACGCGCTACCGCGCGCCGCTGACGGGCGTGCGCCCTTGTGCGGAGCGGGAGGTGGGGGCCGAACCAATAGAGGCTGCCGGGGCCGCAGAACCCGACGAAGACGGAGGGCGGAGCCGGCTACGGGATCGCAGCGACGACACACCGAGCTAGCGCCTGGGCCCAAAAGGAGCGATGCTGTGGTTCCAGGGCGCCATTCCGGCTGCCATCGCAACGGCTAAAAGAAGCGGCGCGGTCTTCGTGGTGTTCGTGGCAGGTGAAGAAGGCAGGGGCTAGAGAGGCGGCCGGGACACCCCTCCGGCCTACCTTCATCCTCTAATATACCTCAGCCGCCGGCCCGCCCTCCCCGAGACGCGGGCGGCTCTCGGCTCGCACTGCTGCCTCTGCTATTCCGCTCCCCAGGGACGGCTGCGACTCCTCCGCCAGATCCCCCACAGGGGCCATGCAGACCCT